AAAGAGAAACTGCTAGCTTTCTGACAAGTAATTGTCAAAGAAGAAAAAACCCCCGACGATCTAATACCAAAAGTGCCTTTGCACTGTTGGTCAGATAGATAGGTAATTGGCTGTCACTTGGGTGGCTGTAAGACTGGATAAAATATAATGCAAAAGAAATATATATGCTGAAAGAGCTCAATAAAAGTGTACTAGCCAAGGTTAGTGAAGGCCAAAGCATAGAAACAAAGAAAAGAAAGGCAGGTGTGAAAAAAAAAAAAGTCTTTCTTTTTCAGAGAGTCTATGTTGCCTTTCAACAGTGAATATTACTCGTATTCAACTATTCAATTCATATAGAAAATATTCAGAACTAGATAATGGTGTTTCCACCATTCTTGTAAGCACTTTACTGAATGAGTTCATTGGAGGATTATGGTAGCGGTAGCACATAATATTGCAGAAGACATCATATTTTAGCAAAATAATTCAAAGTATTTTTTCTGAGAAAAAAAAAAGTGTCACTCATCAATACTTTACCAGCAGTTCTTCAATAACTGCTTAAGGAAAAAGACAGGTAAGTAGCGAGCAGTATATGTTCAATTATTTTTTAAAGCCAATACACTGTACTAATGTCTCAGAACCAGCCACCACTAAATGACTGGCAAAGAAGTTGATCTCATCTGAGAATTTGGTCCATAGTATAATAAGGAGAGCTAGTAAATGCCAGATCTTAGAAATCTATAAATGTAATTATAAGATGCTGAAAGGGTTCTCTTCCTTAGCTCATTTTCTCCACATCTTAACAAATATATGTATGTATTTTTAATATCACTATTTAACATTATCAGACAGGCACAGAACAAAGGTAATTCTTAAAGGAAAAATGTTTTCCTAATTATGTATGCTACAAAAGCCTTGCAGCTACACCAGTGATGTGGAGGAAGCTTTTGAGTGATGGATTTGATACGAGGGTGTTTCATACTTTCACCAAACTGAGCCTGAGCCTCCAGTTTTGGCTCAGAGAAAACTCCCGCAGAAGTCAAAAGGAGCTGTGACTGTATCAAGGCTGCAGGACCTGGCTCAGAAAGGCAGCAGTAAATTATTTAAGAATCTCATCAGCGTGGAAGGAAGTCTGTTAATATTTATTCTGCAGGGTCGCCTGACTGCAGTGATATAAAAGGTGGCATCAAATAGTCCCACTTCCCAGAACACTATGGGTGCCAGTGTGATATACCCGAGGCTGACTGCTACATCTGTACCAAACAGACACTATAAAAATGCAGTTACAGTCTATGGGTAGCCATGCTAGGGAAGAAGCCAACTACTGCAATAAAACCCCGTAGCATCAACTCGTTACAGCACAGTGATTTAAGATTGAATTTCAACCCTCCAATGAAGCTGTAACTGATCCCAAAACACTAAAGTCAAGCCCCTTGGCTGGTTGACCTATACAATCCTGCAAACAGCTGGAATGAATGTGCTTATAATGGCATTTAAGACTCCCTTGGTTGTTGCATTTAAATGCCAGCACACATACAGCAAAAGACAGTGTGAGAGATGGTTATAGGTTAAAGACCTTTAAAGATTTCTATCTTATTATGAATGATAAACTCCATGTCAAAAGATACTAGAGAAAAGGGAAAAGCAAATTAAAATTTGTCGTCTTTGGAATTATATCAAGCTACATATACAGTGGCTTTAATCCAAAAGAAAGCTTTTATTTGCCGTACCATTATATCCCTTCATATCTTCACATCCTAAATTCTCATCATTGTAAGGTTGGTTTTTTCATTTATTTTTACATTTAAACACATCCAATAAATCTATGTACCTGTACAGGCTTCCTCGATCACTGCTTAAGAAATGGTGGAGTAAAGCACTTACTAACTAAAAATAACGAGAAATGAACATGTTTACTACTACTTTAACTTCCCAGGGCATAGTAGGTGAGGCAATGAGGTAACTGGTGATGCCAGCACTTGATAACAGGGATTCTGACAGCCCTAGATCCCTCCTAGATTTTGATGATTATGATATACAGCCAAAAAAAAGAAAAAAAGAGAGAAAAAGCTGGGAACACTTGCTGCAGGACCTGTGAGTGCAGACTGTGAGTGTGTGAAGGGAGAGGGGCTGAGATGGGCACCCAGACTTCAAGGCATGAGATGAACTGAAATCCCGGTAAGGTAAACAGGTAAAACAGTATTTAGAGCCTCTAGTAGATGAATGGTGTGCTCCTTCTGGCCAAAGAACAACCCTCTACTCTTATGAAATACATCAAGGACTTTTTAATGCCCTATACTCCCCCTGGGTTTTAATGTAGGCTCCAAAAGAAGCCAGAAATTAAGCCAGATTGAGCTCTCCTTCCATGACTAAGGAAGACACATGTTCAGAGTTCACAAGGAGCTGGACAAGTTGGACAGTTCGTTCAAGGTCCGACTTTAACTGAGTCAAATTATCTAATATGAGCTTTGGCACAAAATATCAAACGGCACAAATTGACTCATGCCAGAACTTGTGAAACATAAGGTTTCCCACAGGATGGTGCATATTCTGTTAGGGTTTAGTTTGTGGTTCCAAAGAGGCAGTATATCTTAAATCACCAAATCTCTTCAGGCAAAACAAAGTATTAAGCCAAGGCAGCAAAGTAATAAAAATCATGTGCTGCCTGTTACCTCTAATTTGAGCCACAGCATAGAGCTTATTTCCACCGCAGGGAGGAGTTCAGATGTCTGCCTGAATAACTTTTCCTTTCTTTTCCCCAGAAAAGTTCTCTCTAGTGCCTCTCTTGAGTCCCAGCTATGCAAAAATAGAAGAATGAGAGACTGCATCTGCTTAGATTCGCCAGATGCACAAGGGAAAAACAAGCAGTTTAGCACTGGCTCAGAAGTCTGACGACGCGTCTAAATCGGTCCCTGCATTGCAGTTCATTCATTTGCTATCAAATGCTGAGTTCAAGCATACTAGAAACACTCATGGATCCTTTGACTTCTTCATTGCATATGGGTTTGACGAGAAAAATCTCTGATACTGGATCGTTTCATGGTGCCACATAAAATAGAGAAAAGTCCTTCCTTGTTTACAGCATAGCAATGATATCCCTGCACCTCATGAGTTATTTGGCCAAGAAGAAGGATTGCAGTGATGACAGAGGATGCACTTGCTACTTCCACATGCTGAAAAGGCTGTTGCTTTTTTTTCCTTGATGAGAGGAAAAGATATTTAGTGAGTATCAAACTGACCTGAGTCTCTTCCATAGTCTTATTTACCGTTGTCTTTTTTTTCTCCCTTTTGAGCTCTGTCTCATCCCCACAAGCAGCCCAGCTCACCCCTTTGAGGCAAGTCAAGTGAGTCTGTTCATGACATTATAATTGAGCAAGTCGATTTACACTGTTGTTAGGAAGGTAAGCTGAAGTGACTAAACCAACTGAACCTAAGGCAGCAACATTTAGAGCAGATGTCCAAGCCCATTACTGAAAAATAATAAATACAAAGCTGCTCTTTGTTCATTCTTTTGTATAATCAAGAATATCTAATGCTTCCAGCGGTTCTGCCTGCTGTATGCTGAAATCCTGCAAACACACAAAACATAATGCAGGATCTGGACTGGCATGTACCAGCTTGCATCTCCTAATTCCTACGGACCCAGGTAACTGGCTGGATGTGAGCCACCAATGGTTCTATGTGGAATGCCCTTTGCACTAAATCTTTTTTTTCTCTTTCAAGTACCATACTTTAATATCAAATATCTGATCATGCAGCCTGGACACATACACAGCATCCCATGAGTATCCTCTTGCCAGCTGCTATCAACAAAAAGTAGGGCAACTGTTTTCTTTTCTTTTTTTAACCTCTTCCACTAAGGGAAAGAAAAGGATAGGACTGAATAGCAGCATAACAAATTATTTTGACCTCATGTTATCTAAAGTAATTCATCAACAAAGTTTATTGTATGAATAACTTCCAATAGGGGGCTATATTTTACAAAGCTTTCTGTGTTGTCTCTCAAAGCTTTTCCTGCCTCTATGAAGAAAAGAACAAGAAAGAGGAGAGTGAGAACTAAATTCATTGAAATATGAATTAGAGGTTTATTGGAGAACTGGGAAGAGAAAGGTACTGTGTTAATGCCCAAATTAGTGTTAGTGGCTGACATGGTAATCCTGTTACTTTGCTACTTTAGAAATAAGAATGCTAAAGAGCACTTAAAGTGAATGTAAAAAGCAGAGTTCAATGCAATCTGCTGTAAAATGTGTAAAATGCCTGTAAAAGTGTACTCAGTGTGCCGTTTCAACACATTCATAGGGCAGGGAAGTAAGTTTAATCACGTATGAACAGACCCTGATTCCCCTAAATAGGGAGTGGCACATATATAGCATACAGCTAAAAGGGCATTTATGGCTCATTTAGACATATAAGAACATTCTGAGTAAAAATAATGGGAGGTCTGAGGTTATTCCCAAACATGGAAGAAAATAACTATAGTTAGAAGTGGGTGACAAAATACCAGTATCCTGCTTTAAATCCTGCTCTTTTACATGCATTGGAAGATCTGCCCATTCTTTTGTAAAAATAAAACCCCAAATTCCCATTGATTTCTGTGATTTTGTAGCATCCTCACATTAAATGGAGAATGAAATTCTCAAAATATATATATAACTACGTGTGGTGTACTAGAAAGTTGTCAACAGAAGCATGAAACACTATGTACACTATGCAGAACGAGGTCCTAAACATGAAAGTGCCCTGCCATAAGGATGGTAACTTGTGCTGGGTGCGTGACTCTTTGCAAAGCCACTGATTGGTGACTCTTTCAGGAAAATGCTGCAAGATTGATTGTGATAGAGCTACAGGGGACTAAAAGATGACTTTTGGGTCATCTAAGCCAGTTTCCTGATACCAAAAGCTACTCCACTCTATTACTCTTTTTAAGAATTGTTTGGGTGGTATCTAAACTGGCTTGATCCCACTACCCTTTCTGGAATGCCATTCCAAAACGCCATCTTTCAAACAGCAATATACCTCACCTGCTTCACCTTGAATTCATCTTTCATGAACATGCGGGGCCAGAACTCTAGATGTGCAGACCAACTCTCATTTGTTCCTTTTCCAGTGGAAATACCTATTTTCATTTGGTATCAAATAAAAAGATCTTAACTTTTGCTTGGCACTAAATGGTAATCCATAGTTCATAAGGGAGAGAGGGATGATTTATGAACTGAATGAAAAACAAGCATTTAGAAGTAGGGATGATACCTTTCGGGGCCATTTTGAAACTCAAATGTATACACAAAGAAGTGCAAAATTTCTTCATATGTGATATATTTGGAACTCTTTCATAAAATAAGTGTTCAAATTGTTTAATCTTAATATTTCTACTCTGATTTTAACAGACCTTAATTCATCTCTCAGTGACTTACTTCCATTTAATCCTCCAACTTCTGCTTTTTCTCCCTTGAATGACCTCTCATTGACAAACAACACTGATTTAGCAGCTGGCCTGCAGTGTTTCAAAAAAGTTTATCTAGCCTTGTCCCTGCAAACCACAGATGCAGCAATTATCTCCCTTTATCTTCAGAATTCCTGCCACTCTCCACTGCTGGTATTTCAGTATATACTACAAAAAGAAGATAGCTAGTGATATTCAGTGGAGCTCTTCATTTATCTCGGCAGTGTTCTCTCTATTTATCCCATCAGTCAAACCTTCTCCAGCAGCTCTTTTGTCCATTCCTAAGCTCAGCCAGCAAACAGACATACCCAAACTTGTCAATTGTCTCTCGAAAGGCTTGGAACAGAACAAACAAGTTGAGGAAAGCAGGGGGGCTACCAGAACGTCGTGAAATACACCAACGCTGCTCAAAGGCTAGAGGTAATTATCCCTAGTTATCTAGAGATGCTCAGCAAGACTACACAGGCAAATGGGAAGAGAGACTGGTCTGAAGTCATGCAATATAATAGATTCCCATGGCACAAGATTTCTCCTTTGGATTTCAGGGTACTGATCCCAAAGGTTTGCAAAATTTCCGAAACATTTGTCAGTGCATCATCAGAAGGAGGTGTTTGTGTTAATGCTATATATGTAATGCTCCTATGCAACTGAGGTAAGAGCACAACAGCCTTAATTAGTTATAAAATATCACACTTTTGTGCTGCGCTTTTCTGAGCTGGAGCACAATAATATATCCTCCAGACTATTTGCATTGCATAGGCCGTTTATGAAGAACAAAAATACCAGAGCTAGTGTGCTGTGTAAGAGAGACCTCACAATCTGTTTCAGACATAATCCTTACTGTAACAGATGCTGTGCAAATACCTCCCGGCTATCATCTGAAACTGTACAAACTGCCCCACAGGAAACACAAAGAGAATGGACGGTTTTACATAAGACCAACGTTAAAGTTAATGCACAGGTTGTACTTGAGTGCTAGTAGAGCAAAAATGCTTCATGGAATGGTTAAGGTTGGAAGGGACCTCTGGAGGTCATCTCATCCAACCCCCCTGATCAAGCAGGGCCACCTAGAGCAGTTTCCCCAGGACCATGTCTAGATGACTTCTGAATATCTCCAAGGACAGAGACTCCACAACCTCTCTGGGCAACCTGTGCCAGTGCTTGGTCACCCTCACAGTAAAAGTGTTTCCTTTTTCAGTGCCTTTCAGTATGTGATTTCTAGTGAATTCAGCAGATGTGCTTATGACAGTATCTGTGGAAAAGGGGTAACTGTGCAAATGCAAGAAACTCCAAGGCGTGTTTCTATCTTCAAAATATGCTATTTTTATTGCTGTGGCAGACCTGATAAGACTAAATCAGGAACAAATTTATAAACTTGAGTAAGTTCGCATTTCATACAGAGGACAAAAGAAGCCAGTAACAAATAAGAAGCTAAGACAAGTTTAGAGCAAAGACCCTGGCATAACTGAGGGCAGTCATACTAGCATCAGAACCTGAAACCCTCATTCTCAGCAGTAATCCCGATGAAGTTGATGGGGTTGTTCAGGAACATATCAGCTACAAGGTGATATAAATGAGTGGTAAGTGTGCTAAAGGCCAGAACTGCCAAAATTCACCCTCAGCTCTATGAGATAAAGGAAGATCTTTATAATGTGACTGGAGCATCACAGCACTATGCAATTTCCTCTATAAAATCATGATGTTAACTTAAGCAAAATGAATGTCAGATGAATCAGAATCTGATTAGAGATACTTGCAGTGAAGAAAAACGTAAGACCAACCAATCAATTGATCAGTGAATTAAACATAAGATAAGGACTGGGAAGTAAATGTACCTCAAGCATCTGTAGAGGAAGACAGTATTACTGGCTTCATGCATGAAAAAAATTACATTTGGGAAAAGTAGTTGCTACCAGAAATCCCTAGCATTTGCTATACCAGAACTGTTGGGACTACAGGCCACAGTGAGACTTTTGGATGATATAATCTAGAGGCATTTATTATGCAACTATTGAAGTTCATATTAATGACAGCACATGCAGTTGAAACACTGCAATGCCACTTGTCTCCTCTATGAAGAGGTCACTAAGCATGCCTTAGAAGGTTTACTTTGCCTAGTTTTCTGCAAAAGACACAAATTGCCTGCACATAGTTTGCAGTGCTAGAAAATATTTGCACCTGCCCAACAAGTGTGAGGCTGGAGAGAATATCTCTGCTAAATTGGACTGTACTAAGTTCTATGAACTTCAAGACTTTCAAGAAGTCATAATATTTATATTATGGAAGGTTTTTGTCACTGTGTCACAATAATTTGTTTCCCAATAGGGTAGTGGTCTTGAAATTTCAGTATTATGACTTGACTTGATTTCAGGATTCAGAAAAAAACTGAAATGAATCAGAAGATTCCAAACTCTTATTTGAGCACAAATACTATCAACAGTGAGAAAATGCACTGAGGAAAATCATGACTATCATCGAATACATATGTTTCATCTTTAGTATAATATTTGTCTGAAGGTCTTACTGCTGTGAAAGTCATTCTTAAAAGTTAGTGAAAAGAATCTTTGAAAACACCAAGCAGATAAGTACGTTACTTGCCTTCCTTTCTTGCTCACATTTTGTCCACCAAAAATAGCTGGATTAGTACAAAATGCAAAGGGAAGCCTTTAAACCCAGGAAAAAACCCTGCTGCAGACCTTCTGCCTCATTTAATTTACTGTGCAAGTTCAGGAAGGGAAGACCGTGAAGAGATTATATAATGCTAGGTATCATTGTGAATACCAGTAACCACATTAGGCGGTCACGTGCGTATACATCCAGTGGGTTTCAGTCACTAGGCTTATTTATTCCAGCTTCATCTCCCTGGCGAGAGACACCTGTTTTCATCAGGGCTAAGCAATCAGTCTGTGACAGGGAGTTTTCAGACCCCAGGGAAGGCGTGCTGTAATCTCTGTTCTTATCACTGCTGGAATAAGCACAAAGACAAGGCGAGCCTGCCTTATCTGATGCCATGGCAAGAAATGATAAACATGCATTATCTTGCAGGAGCTCCCGAAAATCCACTGTCAGAAGAGAAGCCTCTTTAATCCAGTGATTCAGCAGATGGGAGTAGTATGGAGGAAGCTGATACAATGAAAACCTACCATATTTCTCCATGTAAGGCATGCCCCCCATATCTCTGTTGTCTCATGGCCTTTGTAACTTCAGAGTTGGAGAGGCTGCAAACATGTTTATTCCTGCTTCCACCTGAGCTGTCACGTCTCTTGTTTCATCGTGCCATAATGCCTTCTTGGCACACTCACTCGTCTCCTCTGGGACACACTGCCCACTAAATCCAGAGGTCTTCCTTTTATTTCTTTAGGACCAGCCTATCTCCTCTGTGCCTCCAACATGCTCTTCTATAAACTCTTAATGATGATTGCTGCATTTTTGTGCCACCTGTGGTATATCCCACCATCTGGTGTACTTGGTATTTCTAATGGATTCCTGGAGTTTGAGGTAAATCACGTACACCTTAAGCTGTTGGTGGCTTTATGTTTGTTGACAAGTTTGGATTCCAAAACTGCACAGCAAATATATCATATAAGTTATGTTTTGCTATTTAATGCTCAACAAAGTGACAAACAGTTTATTTATTCAGAAACATGCTACAACATAGACACTTTCACCATTAAATTTATACCTTACAGACCTTCTATTCCTGGCCTTAATTAAGGGCTGATGTCTATCTGTTCTGCTCTAGGGCTACTTTGAAGACAAACAGCAATGATGAATTTTAATGACTTGCCTCTACTTTCACTGAAGAACCAAAGTAAACCATAGGACCCAGGAAAGGTGCAGTTTGTATTGGGTTTTGTGCCCTTTGCACTCTGCCACCTCTCCATCCCTTATTCCCTGCAAGAGAAACATGGGGAACAAGAAGGCGTTTCATGCTCAAGAGTCGGCTGCAGAGTGTGCTAGGAAGGGATAAAATATTTCTTACTGTAATTCTTTGGTAAAATTAGCTAAACAATAATCTTTTTTTAATTGTAAATGGGCAATGTATTAACACTGTCTTTTCATAAAGTCTCTGACTATCAAAATCCCCCAAAAGTCCCTGTATGTTTCTTGCACTCTTCTAAGTATTTGCTCTAATCCAGTATGGCCATTCTTATGTTCTTGAATTCCTGGGAGTAATTTATTGCAATCTATTATTACTTCCAAGATTATTGCAACTCAGTGAGATGAATAAAATATCAACCTTTATCTCTGTCTCATGACTACTTACAAAATACAGTGAGAGGCTGTCATCACTACCTTCATCCTCTACCATAAACTCATAATATTTCCTTCATTATAATGTATTCTTCTACAAAAGTCAGAAAACTGCTGCTCCAATTGAAATACCTTTTATATTCAGATGAAGACCTGGAAGCACACAAAATATTTATCCAGAAAATAGGTAACTTCCCCTACACTAAAAGGTTAAGGACAAAATCCAAATTCACTTTCTTATGGATTACTTGCTCATGGTAGCTGACTTCCAGACTCACGCTTAAAAATACCATGCACATGAGTGGCCCCAGGAGGCTTTTCATTTTCAAGCACTTCCACATACTCTCATACCCAACC